GGAAGAAAGGGAACCCTTTTGCAGTGTTGGTGGGAATGCAAATTGGTGCAGCCACTATAGAAAGCAATATGGAGATAACCTTAAAAAAGTAAAAATGGATTTGTGTTTTGATCCAGGGATCCCACTTCTGGGGATATAGCCGAAGGAAACCAAAACACTAATTCAAAAGAACATAAGCATCCTTATGTTCATTGCAGCTTTATTTACAATTGCCAAGATACGGAAGCAGCCTAAGTGTCTGTCAGTAGATGAGTGGATAAAACACCTATGGGTCATTTACACAATGGAAGACTACTTGGCCGTAAAAAAGAAGGAAATGTTACCCTTTGCAACAGTATGCTTGGACCTAAAGAACATTATGCTAAGTGAAATAAGCCAATCAGAGAAAGACAAATACCATATGATCTCACTCATATGTAGAATCTAATGAATAAACTGAACTAACAAGGAAGATGGGGACAGACTTATAGATGGAGAGCAGGATGACAGCTAAGGATGGGCAGAGGTTATGAGGTGGAGGGTTGAGCAAAAAGGAAGAAGTGGACATGGACAACAGTGTGGTGATTGTGGGGGTGCGGGGGTATAAGACTAAATGGTAATGGGAAAAGTAAAATTAAAAAAATTTAATATATTGCTGGATGCAGTTTGCCAATATTTTGTTGAGGATTTTAGCATCTATGTTTCAGAGATTGGCCTGTAGTTTTCTTTCTTTGTTGTATCTTTATCTGGTTTTGGGATGAGGATGATGCTGACCTCATAAAAGGAGTTTCGGAGTCTTCTCTCTTGGCGTTTTTGGAATAGTCTGAAAAGGACAGGGGTTAGCTCTTCCTTAAATATTTTGCAAAATTCTCCTGTGAAACTGTCTGGCCCAGGGCTTTTGCTTGCCAGGAGTTTTTTGATGACTGCTTCAGTTTCACCAAGTGTGTTATCAGTCTGTTCAGGGTTTCTGCTACTTCATTAAGTTTTGGAAGAGTATGTTTTTCTAGAAATTTGTCCATTTCACCCAGGTTTTCAAATTTCTTGGCAGATTGTTTGTTTGTAGTCATTTCTTACAATCCTTTGTATTTCTGTGGTATCAGTTGTAATCTCTCCTCTTTATTTCTGATTTTATTTATTTGGGTCCTCTCTTTTTTTCTTGATGAGTCTGGTTAAAGGCTTGTTGATTTTGTGTATCTTTTCAAAGAACCAGCTCCTGGATTTATTGATCCTTTGAACTGTTATTTTAGACTCTATATCATTTCATTCTGCTCAATTTCCTTCTGGTTATTTCCTTCCTTCTACTTGCTCTGGGCTTTGTTTGTTGTTGTTCCTCCAGTTCTTTAGGATGTCAGGTTAGGTCGTTTATTTGAAATGTTTCTATCTTTTATAGGTAGGCCTGTATTGCTGTGAACTTCCCTCTCAGGACGGCCTTCACTGTGTCCCATAGGTTTTAGACTATTGTATGTTCATTTCCATTTATTTCCAGAAACTTTTGGTTTCTTCCTTGATCTCATTATTAACCCTTTCATTCTTTAATAGCATGTTATTCAATATCCATGAATTTGAAAGTTTTTGAGTTTTTGCCTTGAGGTTGATTTCTAGTTTCAAACCCTTGTGGTCCGAGAAAATGCTTGATATAACTTCAGTATCCTTGAATTTGTGGAGGTTTGTTTTGTGCCCTATCATGTGGTTTGTCTTTGAAAATGTCCCAGGTGCATTTTAAAAGAATGTGTATTTTGCTGCTTTAGGATAAAAGAATATATATATTATACAGTTAAGTACATTTGATCTAGGGGGTTGTTCAATGCCGCAATATCCTTGTTGATATTTTGTTTGGAAGATCTATCCATTGTTGACAGTGGGGTATTAAAATCTTCTAGTATAAGTATCTTGCTGTCTATATGTTTCTTGAAGTTCTCCAAGATTGTCCTTATATATTTGGATGCTCCTATGTTGGGTGCATATATGTTTATAATGTTTATGTCTTCTTGATGGATTCTTCCCTTGAGTATTATGAAGTGTCCTCCTGTGTCTCTCTTTATGGCCTTTTTTTTTTTTTTTGAAGGTTATTTTGTCTGATTGCTAGCCCAGCTTTTTCCCCCCCTATTTGCTTGTAATATTTTTTTTCCAACCCTTCACTTTCATCTGTGTAAGTCTTTTCTTCTGAGGTGGGTCTCTTGTATGAAGCATATGTGCGGGTCATGTTTTCTTATTCATTCAGTTACCATGTGGCTTTTGATCGGAGCAAATGCCTTTTGGCCCAATAGTTCTACTGCTGGGATTATACCCTAAGAATCCCGAAACACCAATTCAAAAGAACCTACGCACCCCCGTGTTCATAGCAGTGCAATTTACAATAGCAAAGTACTGGAAGCAGCCTAAGTGCCCATCAGTAAATGAGTGGGTCAAAAAAACCTGTGGTACATTTACACAATGGAATACTGCGCAGCAGAAAGGAGTTCCTACCTTTGCGACAGCATGGATGGAACTGGAGAGTATTATGCTAAGTGAAATAATCCAGATGATGAATGACAAATACCATATGATCTCACCTGTAGGTGGAACGTAATCAACAAAACAAACAGGCAGGCAAAATAAAACCAGAGACATGGAAGTAAAGAACAAACTGACAGCAGAGGGGAGGCAGGAGGGGGATAATGGGAAAAGAAGGGGAAGAGTGGTCAAGGAATGTGTATAAAGGACCCACGGACAAAGCCCGTGAGAAGGTAGGATTGAGGGTGGAAGGCGGGGATAGGCAGGGTGGGCGAGGGTGGTGGGAAGTAAATGGAGACAACTGTGGTTGAACATCAATAAAAAAAATTCTGTAAACTAAAAAATTTAAAAAAGACCCAAATAAATTAAATTAGGATGAGAGGACATTACAACTAACACAGAAATAAGAAGCTACTATGAACAATTATATGCCAACAAATTAGATAGCCTAGAAGAAATAGATCAATTCCCAGAAACATAAAACCTACCAAGATTGAATCATGAAGAAATAAAAAATCTGATGAGAACAATCACTGATAAGGAGACTTAACCAGTAATAATAAACCTCCCAACAAAGAAAAGTCCTTTCTCAAGGACCTGGGAGTCATTCCTTTAAAATGTAATCTTAAGAAACATTGTGCTCCCTTCAGTCTCTGAAGGAGGAGGGTAGGAGCCTAAGCAGTGATTGGTAAACATTGATAACCGAGCTGCATGGACCAGCCTTCTCTAACATCCTGCAGTACTTTTGACTAACTCACTGCCAGCGCATAAAAACTTTCCCACCCTTGTTTCAGTGGAGTTGAGTTTAATCTGTCTCCCCTGTTGCACTGGTCTTGAATAATGTCTTCCTTATCATTTTAACTTGTGCAGTGCAATTTCCCTTTGACTGTGATCGAGAATAAAAATTCTGGGGTCAGACTCTCTCTCCATTTTACTACACATGTCACGTACTCTCACTAAGCTTCAGTTCGCGTGAGTAAACTGGAGATGGTGGTACCCGTGTGCAAGATGTCTGTGGGGATGGCGTGGGTTAATGAATGTAAAGCTCTCAGCATGCTCTGAGGTGTGTGAGGTACTCCATGAAGTTTCATTCTTATCTTTTTGGCTAATGACTACACAGAAAGCTTCCTGATAGCTTTATTTGTTTGTTTGTTTATTGTAAACTTCTTTAGTGTATTTACTGTATGTTTCTGTTTGCTAAATTATCCATATGTACGTGTCCGGGATCTACTTTGTAAAATGAAGTCTGTCAATTTAGTTCTTGAAATAGATAAAGATAAAAATGCATCATAAATAGTGAAAGCAAGCAACCCAGTTGCGCATCTGGTCTTGAAGTTGATTCACATAGGGCGGAGCAATCAGGTCCTGCTGAGACCACGCTGAGGCCACACTGAGAAACGGCTCCTGTGGGCGAGGAGGCAGGGTCTACACTGTGCGTTCAGACACTCCAGGCAAGCTGTGCTCTCCAGCAAATGAAGAAAACTCTGTGCTGTTTATATTTTTGAAGTTCAAAACACCTCCTACTTAGGCTATCCTAAAACCACACACGCAAATTTAAATACTAAATTTTCTTTTAATAGATATTTTAAAATACAAGTTGTTTTTCAATACTACTATGCTTGTTGTAGCTCCATCATGAAATGTGTCAATGCCTAAATTTTGAAGATATATGTGTCAAACAACACATTTTAAAAGTTGACACTGCTTTCTTTTGGGAGGGAGCATGGTAACATTATCGGGAACTACTGAACTTTGACTTCATGTCACAGTAAGTATCCAGGCATAACAGTTACCCTATTCAGCGTATGCTGTATCTGTAAAAACTACTTCTCCCTCCTCCTCCAAAGTAATCAGAGAAAAATGCACTTGAATTGCCTTCTGACTTCTAACAGTTTATATTCTGTTTGGAAACCCTGCTTGCAATTGTGACTGACTTACCCAGATAGCAGTGATGGTATGGATCGGTCTGAAAGGCTAAAGTACCACATTGATGTTCCATTCTTAAAAACAGAAAACATACTGGTGTTTTTTTAAAGAGTCATTACCTCTTACAGTCTGTTCACTGTTTTTATGCTTCCCTTTTAATGGAGGCTCCTATAACATTAGGTTTATATTTTTAGATTGTTTGCTCTCATCTCCCCCTCCCTGCTTGAAACAAGTTTATGTTAAGGGAGGGGGTTACCAGGAAAGGCAGAGCCCCATAAGCTGTATGACTGCAGATGAAAAGACATGTGGTTTATGATATCTAGATACCCACTTGGAGGGAAGGGAGTTGGTGAGCAAAATAAAAAGACTAAAAATCTAAGTCAAGCCAGAAGCAAGACATGCCTGTGATGAAGTACGGATTTAAGTTGGGAAGTTAGTTGTTATGGCCCCCAGTTGTATATATTTTATCCAAAGGCACCATTTGGTTTAATAAAATGAAGATCTAGAGCTGCTCTTAACCTAACAGTTTCTTAAGACTTAATTATAAAGGTTATATTTTCAGAGGACAAAAGCATTATTCATTGTCTGTTCATGTCTTCCAGGTTTATCTTGCAGATTATGGACTTGCCTACAGATATTGTCCCAGTGGGAACCACAAACAGTATCAGGAAAACCCTAGGAAAGGCCATAATGGGACGATGGAGTTTACCAGCCTGGATGCCCACAAGGGAGTAGGTAAGTTTCTTTTTTCTTTTTCTTATCTTTATTTCATAAGAATAGTTAAGAGAGTAATAGGACTCCATGAAATGACCTTTGCATAGTCACTTTGACGAGTGAGAGCACTAATGAGATTTTATCAAAACTAGTGAATTCCTTCCGGTAGGCCAGTGAATAGTTGTATTAACCTGGGGAGGAGATACAGACTGTGACAAGTGAAAAAAAGCAAAAAGGGTGTCAAGAAGGCACAGCTTGATGCTCATTTTGGGCAGGAAACCACTCGTTTGTGTAGGTGCAACTTGGAGGTCAGCAACTGGATTTTGCTGCTGTGGTGAATGTTACAGACTTGGTAAGGTGCCCATGTGAAGGGTTGTTCCTGTTTTTCACTGTGCCCATATTAGAGCTTTGGAAGATACCATCTCTCAACAATAAGAAAGTCTTTTCTGAAACTATAAAGTGTTAACTTGTGGAAATCTCTCCTAGTCTCTTTTCATATATCTTACTTATTTAAACTCACTTTGATGGTATTGGAAACACATTTGCAGGTAAATTACATACATAGTCCTTTTATTGGATATTGATTGTAGTGCCTTGCATTCCAAGGCAGACTTAATGCAACAATTCCCTAATTAGTTAAAGTCATAACCTATGTCTTGTATTCATTTACCATTAATTAAACCTTAGCTGTTTATTACACTGCAGTCCAAATCCAATAGCCGGCCCAGAAAGCCATGGAAAAGGAAGTGGGAGGTCAATATGGAAAATATGTGGTACAGAGCCCCACTGATGGTTGCTTTGTTCACAATCAATATGGTCAATGCAACGGTACTTTCTGAGTTGCTCTGTCAGCAAGACAAAAAGTCAATTCGAATGTTATGCTAGTAAAAAAAAGGGTGATTATTGAAAAACTTTGGCTTTCAAAATTATATTCTTTAAACTTTGTTTATAAAAGTATTTGCAAATATGCTAAACCATACAAATAATTTTCAACAGCTTTGAAAGCACCACATCTTCACTAAAAGGCAATTAGACATTTGTACTTGTTAATGCCTGTTGAACTGTTACCCTAAACTGAGACTTTCTAACGAGTTTTACTTGGTGCAAACAACTGTAATATTATTGCTTTTCCTATTAAAAGGACCATTGACCATGTAATGTAGAGGGTCTTGATAATTTTCCAGAGCAATTAAAGCCCACCCTAGTTTAAGGTAGGCCAATGAAAAAGTGAGGCAAGTGCAAGTGTGTCAGTAGTATACTTTTTCCCCTTCAGGAAGAATCATAGGTTAAATTTTCTGAAATGGAAATTGCTTTTGTATTTTGGATTAGAGTAAAAGAAATCACTGCATTACTTTTCAAGGGTAGTTTAGTTAGAAAAGCAATAATCACTCAAAGTAAGTAATATTGTGTATTTTTTCACCGTGCATATTGTTAATGAATCAATGAGCATTTAAAGATATAAATGGGACATGGCTTTAATTAAATTAGAAATGTAGGAATCAAATGCTCATGGATAGTGGGTTCTTGTTCAATTTAAAATGCTTTTACTGGCAGTGAATTTTGCTCTTCTGCCAAATTTATTAGTATAAAAGAGTTTTCAGAAACCTGGGAGTACTTTTTTGCTAGTGGTATAACTGGAAATTACAGATTCTTAAGCATTTGTCCGCTTATGTTAACTTACGGTTGGGCCACTTATTTCAACTGGTAGCTCTAATCCTGATACACTGTGGCTTTGACTATTAAAACAGCTAAGAAATCGGTGTGATTGTTGAATGGGAAGAAGAGTTGTTACATGTTGGTCTGGTCAGTGATTGAACTATGGTAATTCTGGAAGTCCTCTACAATGATTCCATAGTTTAGGGCAGTGTTTTTATTGTTCTATCCTCATAGAAGATTTGAACAGATTTTTATTCTGTAGTTCATTTAAGTTGCTCTCCCCTAAATAACAATACATATAATGAGTTGTGTAGATTTCACCATGCTAGATCTTTGAGGGAGAGTATTGAACTGAAAATGATGGTAGAAAGATATCGCTTCCCTGGGAGAACTATTCAGGGAAGAATCTATGTTACAAATTTTTGGTATTTGTTAGAAAGTTATATGCTGGAGTAAATATTCATTTTTATAGGTGTCATAGGATTCCGATAAAGATTTCTTTAATGCATTTAAAATAGAATTTATAATTAACTTATAGGCATATCTATATCTACCTATAGATATGCATGCATACATATGTGTGTATACATATATGCATATGTGCACACATACATAGCTGCATGTGTCTATATAAGGAAATATATGCTGAAGTTTTTAATTTTTTTATTGTTCAATTTCCAGTGGTCCCCATTTTCCCCCATTACTCTCCCCCGCACTACCCATCCCCCACCTCCCACATTCAGGCCCCAGCCCAGTTGGCTTTGTCCATGGGTCCTTTATGCATGTGCCTTGACTTGACCCTTTCCCTTCTTCCCCCTGTTATGTCCCTCCCCTGTCTCCTCCGGTCCCTGTCAGTTTGTGCTTTATTCCCATGCCTCTGGTTCTATTTTGCTGGCTTATTTGTTTCGTTGATTGGGTTCCACTTACAGATGAGATTGTATGGTATTTATATATGCTAAGTTTTAATATGCAGTTTTAGTCTGGCATGTAAAAAGTTTTATATCTTCAAATGTTTGAACTCATTCCTAATATTTTGCATTTAATTTTCCAAAATAAAACATTTTGCTTTAGGATTTTATTAGAAATGAGATAATTATTTAGCCATATCTAGGAACCAGAATAAACAGGGCCATAAATCCTATAGGGTAATGCAGAAGGTCAGATTCATAAATATTTGTGTTTACTTTCAGTCCAGTCACTATGTAATTTAATCTTAGAAAAATCTTTTCTATACCAGTCCAACTAAGAAATCAAAAAAATGCTTAGAAAGATAATGCAAAGGGAAACATAAAGAAGAAAACAAGTTATCACTAGGAAATGGAACCTCAAATTGTCAAAACATTTGTTATGTGTCAGGTCTGTCTGTGCCTCGTCAGGCCCAGGAAACTATTCAGATTTCAGTGTGAAGCTGGTTTATGAATTAGCCATTCAACAGAGACTATTAACCTGACCAGACTATCTGGTCTCTTCCCTTTTTATAGTGGTTATTCATAAACCATTGCCAACTCTCATTTTTCTGTGGATTAGTTGTTTGTTTCTTTGTTTGTTTTTTAATAATGGAGATTGTATAAGGTACCAGTCAGCAGTTTAACCTAAGCATTTTCTTGTTCAGCTTTATGTAAAAGCAGGGTTACTTGTATTATTACAAACCAAAGAGATTTAGAGATGGATGTCTAGATTGACAGATGAATCGGTATTTCTGGAACTATCATACATGTGTGTATCTGTATTTTTTTTTAAATTGCAGTTAGTCTTTCAAACTTAATTTTCGTATGACCCGAAGGTATTTTCTGAGTGGCTGAAGTGCTTCATTTAGTGTAAAATTAGGGTAATGTATGTTGGGCTTATCTCTTCTGTTACTAATTTTTTATTCTTCATAAAAACTAACATGTATAAACATTGACATATTTTGGGCTTGTTGCCTAATAATTAAAGAGAATTATATCTGTGTCAAATACACTATTTTAAAATTTGTTACATTCTTAGTAATGTTAAAAAAGCAATATTTGGATCAATGTGTGTATGGATTTTTTGTAGATTTTTCTACTCAGTGAGGCATGCAGTCAATACCTAATTTCTCTAGAGATATACTGCATTTAACATATTGAGCTTTTTTAAATACTTCAGACCTGTGCATTGAGTGTATAATACCTGTTTTAATTTGACATCATTGATGACCATAAAATATGAGACCTAAATTGCATTTTAAATGTCTGTTTATTTATGTAATATATTCAGTATCAAGAAAAGATATATTATATACTCCTTTATTTTTGCCAATTGGTATCATATATGAAATCCAAGTCTTGTGTTATTTCTTGCATGGTTTCATTTCACTCTAATTTAGCACTCCAACTTACAAAATATATGTGAAATAAACTGAGAATGTATTTTCATGTTACCAAACTTGGGGAAGTGACATGGTTTATACAAGATATATCTTCTTAAACAATGATTCAAAAAAGGAACCCATTTTCAATTATAAGATGTCAAGGGAAACCATCAGGCTATTGATATGCTCTGTTGGATCTGTTAGTAATCAGAAAAAAATACTGTTGGTTTCTGTTTTTAGTTTGACTGCTGTAAATAGCCTTTGGTTGATGTATTTGTAAACAATAATGAAGACACTATTTCTTCTCCATGACATGACCCAATTTCAACATTTAGGCGTGACTTAAATTCATGACACAGGTCAAACTATTCAGTTGGGTTAAGAATACACATTGGCCAAATGTAGGATACCTTTAACTTGACTGTGTTGAGTAACTTTTCCTAAGCCTTCGCTGTACTGTTTCATAAAAAACATTAAGGCTTAGAATTTAAAAGGTATTTTAAAAATAGGGAAGACTTGGGTTTAACATTTTAATTGCACTGTCAAACACCATTCCCTTTTTCTAATAACCTTTTCGAATTTGCAAACATTTGTTGCCACTATACCATTTTCCAGCATGTTATACATCTGAATTTACAAAATACTGACTAACATAGGTTACTAGTTAGGAAAATAAAACTAAAGTTTAAATTTGTTTTGCATATAGTCCCCCTTCACTTGGTGAGGTGAGCATCTTATTCAGATATGTTCTGCTTTCTTAGTGTCACTTCGGGGAATATAAGCCAGTGTGTGGGGCATTTAAACCCTGTCTGCTTGAGGCAAAAGTTTTCAAGTTCACTTTATCATTTCCTACCAAACTTGTTTTTCTTCACACTTCATAATGTTGCTCTATATAACAAATAAAACTAAACAGCAAACACTTTAGGCAAATAATCAGATCCATTTTGGGATTAACACTTGCACTTTCTTTTTCTCCCAATTTCTTTCATTCCAGTAGATGAATTGGGCCCAGGTGATTTCACTCCAGTTTGTTTTTTAGAATAAGAACCAGTTCTCTAAGGTAGCTTCTCTGCTGTTCTCATCCCAGCCCGGAAGTACTATTTAACACGTTGTGAATTCATGTTTTAACTAGACGCCCTTCTTCATCAGAATGAAGTAGTTTGAAATAAATAGTATCTTGAAGGGATAGTTGCATAAAAAATTTTGTTAGTGATACAGCTTGGACCTCAGGAAATGCTGCTTGTTTATTCCTTCCCAAAAGAACCCTCTTTGAATCAGTATGTCTTTTGGAATTTTAAATTAAAATGCCTACTTCAAATAATTCCCTAACTATAGAAGTAATATGTGTAATGTTGTTTGAGTGGTGCTAAAATTAATGATAAGGCAAAGTAATTATTAAATTGAGTGTGGGCTTTGGATTTGAAAGACAGATTTCAATGCAGAGCTCTGTCAATTTTTGCTCTGTGATACTGAACAAGTTATTTAACCTCTCTGAGCCTCTATTTGTCAACAGAGTTAATAATGCTTACCTTATATTGTCGGGATGATTAAATGAGATAATATAAAAGTAGTTAGAGTGCCTGGCATGGTAGCAGCTGCATACATTACATCAATTGGTTTTATTTTAATGATGCATTTCAGTGTCAATTGTTTCTGTAATCTGCTTTCTAGTGGTATAGGACTCAAGTCCCCCCTGTGCCTTTTTTTTTTTCAATTGTTGTTACTCTTAGCAATACTTTATAATTTAGAAATGTTGAGCAATTGAAAACACCACAGGCTTTCCATGAAAAGAGTCATTTACATTGCTCCATATTAATAAGCTAAATAAAAGTTAAATGCTAAATTATATATGGAAACTAACAAGAGTGTAGAAGAAAAATATTAATAACTAAATTTTGCTACATTCCAATAGTGCTATAAGTAATAGTTTGATTTTTTTTAGAAAGTCTATATAAACACATACCATTAATGATTATATTAACTATCAAATATAACTGAAGAACCCTGTATGCTACAGTAAGGTGATTGTGGGGGAGAGAAGGTAGGCAGAGGTGGGAGAGGGTATGAAGGGTAAATGGTAATGGGAAAAAAGGCAATAAAATAAATAAATAAATGAAAAAAGAAATATGAAGATATAGAAACAAAAGAATCCATAGTATATTTCAGCTTTCAAATTTAAAAAATATTTTTTATACTTAGTCACTAATAGTTCTCTTCAACTATAATCAATTCTTGTTTTTCTTTTTATTTTCAGCATGTTATTTCTTTTGAAATTCAAAGGGAATACCTAGATAATGTAGAAAATATCAAAATACTCATTTTCTGGATTCAACAATTATTATTTTGTAATTTCACTTGTATTTCGATGTATTTTAAAGTCAGAGTTATAGGATCAACTCATTGTGTTATTCACACAAATATTCACACATTATCTAGAGTATTTACATTTAATCAAATTAACAGGTATTAAAATTGCTTTTTTGTGTACAGTAGATGGAAACAAGACATAATTGTTGGTAGAATCTTAGCATTTGACTTCACTAAAACACATGAAACTTTGCGATTCGTTTCCTAGGAGGGAATTTCAGGTAGCAGCACATGTACTTAGAAACACTTTTAATATACCTACCTCACTCTTTAATGGTAGCAAAGAGTAACTTTAGGATGTTTTTAAACATTACGTGTATTTCTGTAGAACTTAATGGAAACAGCAGTAAGACTCTTGCCTAACCATAGTTATTAATGTATATTTATACAATAAAAGAAAATAAGTAAAAAATTGAAAATGTGATGATGTATTTTAATTAGGTAAGACCAAACCATTATAGTGAAGGAAAGTTAACTCTCAAAGGGCTATTTCAAATGAAGACCAGTTTATGAAAGACTAGCTTCAAAAATCTAAATGACTTGTCATTACTGCAGCTTCATATCAATTAATCCCTCAGTGGGAGGGTGGGGGAGTGACTGAGAAGGTTCATTCCATTTTAATTCTTGATTGTTTTTCCTCAGAGAGCCTCTTGTGCGTACGTAGCTTGTGTCATCCAAACAGGTGCCAGAATAGAATTTTTTGAAAATTAGAGGATGTGGATTTTTTTAAGTGGTGGTAATCAGGAATTGCCGTAGTGGAAAAGGGGCTTGTGCGCACATCTGTACAAACGGAACCATTCCATTATTAATGGGAGATTTATTACCGAAGAAATGAGTACCAAACAGTGTGCTAGAGATTGTGTTTTTATTTTCATACGAGAGCCAGCACTTGCATTAGGACATTGTCGAAGCTCGTGCAGAAAGTAAATGGCCCTCGCGGGACTGTAGCATTCTGCTAGACCGAAGGGCCTTTCATAGTCCAGTACTCTGATAGCAGTTAAGATGGAGTACGTGTAAGAGCCAATCTTGTCTTCTGCTTTTGTAATGATTCATGTACGGTAACCAAAGGAGTTGTGATGTGCTGGGAGCATTGTTCTTAGATAACTTTTTAAAATAAAAACCAAGTTTACTGGGTGATTTTTTTGGAGTTTATTTAATGAAAGATAATAAAATAGGATACCTGTTTACAGCAAGTTTAACAGCCACAAATGACACTTAGGAGAGTGTATATCCCTACACACGTGAGCATTCAAATAATGGTAGAAATATAAATATCAACCTATTGTTTTATAGCAATTTGGAATGGTTACAAAAGTGAGTTTATTTTGTGAGATTTTGTTCATGTTTTAATTACTATTTCAGTGGGATTTGTTATATTTGACATGTTTCTTAGATTTCATTGCCCATCTTTTGAAATACGGAACTTTAAAAAAATAATATAAAATTGTGATGGAATTAGTCTATAGTATTTAGTAGCTTGATATAAATGATATTGGCAGTGTCCTAAAAATGTTCTCTCACTGCATTTTATATGAAAAGCCATCGTGTAAATGCTGAAAGCCTCTCTTTGGCTTCAAAATCTGCTTCCCACCACCTCCGCCCACACTCCCATGCACACTATTGCCTCATCTTTATATTTTCTATTCAGGATATTTGATCAGAATCTTAGTTTTGTGCTGTTTCTATCTGAAAATATTTGTAAAATTTTAGAACCATGTACCCAAAACAGGAGGCATATTTTATCCTGTACTTTAATTAATTAAAAAAAAAAATCTGCAGACAGACCTGTTTTTTAATACTGCACACTAGATGGCAGTTTTGTCATATTCTTCCCACTTCAAATGCTGCTAGTGTGAGTGGAACAGAAAAGGCCATCAGTGTTTAGTCTGCACTCACAGGGTCTCTGCGTGACCAATGCGGACCCCGTGGACTTCCTGGAACATATGTTAGCAATTTAGCTGCAGACATTTATTTCTTTGTTTTACTGCTTGGCTCTTTGAGAAAGTGTTGGTGCCAGGTTATGGGTTGTCTGGATCATGTCAGAGGCCATGGAGATCAAGTTCATGTGACAGGCTAGACTAAGGAAGGATGAAGTTGGAGGAGGTGAGGAAACTGACCCTTACTTTCAACAGCAACAAGTCACTGCCTGTCTGTGGACTGGAGCCAAAAGCCTCGCGCCTAAGTTTTGCTCCAGCTGAACAAACAAAACACGTTGCCCATTTGGCTTTTTCATATTTCATCAATAGTGGTTAAACCAGTGATTTCTCTATGTCTCAAAATTTGCTTATCCTTCATCTCTCCCTCTCAATGCTTTACTCCTATAGCTCTGTCCAGACGAAGTGACCTGGAAACCCTCGGCTACTGCCTGCTGCGGTGGCTGTGTGGGAAGCTGCCCTGGGAAGGGAACCTGCAGGACCCCGTGGCTGTCCAGGCTGCTAAAACAAAGTAAAGAGTTTCAAGTATTCCATTATGTGCAGCAACAGGTCTGAGGGGAGCCATTACAGGGAGTTAGGATCCCAGAGAAGTTACCATTTACCCAACGTGATAACCAAAGCTCAGTTCTTAAATTTGAAAAATTATATTTGAAAAACTGAACAGCTTACAGACATAAAATCCATTAAGATCACAACTATGAAGTCACATGTATGTGAGTTGTAATAGAAACTATAAAGTGAAATAGTTGTTCCTTTACATGGTGTTTTCCAGAGCTCAGATTGTAGGTGGTGGTATTTTCAAGGAAGAGTGTTTCCAAATTAGCTTTGTGTAAGTATATGTAGGTAGTCTGAGCTCTGTCTGATTGATATTAATTGTGCAAAGCAACAATGTGAAATGGGACAAATATGGCCTATATTTTTCAAGTGAGAGTAACATGGCTCTTTCTTAATCCTGTGTCTTGGAGGGAGTATATTTTGTTTCTGAAAGAAGAAACAAACAAAAATTTTACATGAGGTGTTTATATGAAAGATAATCTTGCAGCCATATAAGCATTGTTAATATTTCACATTCAGTTTTTCTCAGCTAGAATCTGTTAGCATGAAAATTAGGTCAGACTGAGGACAGAGTATGTTACTATTTTACTGTTTTCTCACTGATCAGGCCTAAGAAAAAGTCAATTGCATGTAGCACAGAATAGCCATTTTTTTTATTATATACCAATATATGTTCTACAGTAGTTATCCACACATACGATATCACAATTGGAAAAGGCAGCTCTATTTTAAGTAGGGCATATTGTAACAGAAGTTTACAAGAGGGGCAGCTGATTCGTAGAAACCAATCTTCAAATTCAGTGTGGCATTGGTTCTTAATAGAGAGAAAAGCTAGCTCACAGATGCAGAATAATGCAAATTACATTTGTAAATACTGACATACCGAATATTGTATGAAATATTTCTTTACTTGGAATGCAGATCATCCTAGTCCCTCACCCAAAATGAACACATTTATATAAGTCAATATTAAAACTATTTAATCAGTTATTTACTGCAATGATCGATGTGTCTATATTAACCCCCATGTAACTGACATTTTTCAATATATGGGTCAAGTCAAAGCACAGTAATGGGCATATATAAATAGTCTTGGTATCCAATTTTCCACCTCAGTTTACTGAATTTGAATAATGTACTTTATTTCAAAGATTAGCATTTTAATTCTAATGATTATATGTATGTTTTTCTCTTATTAAGATTTACTATGATTTTAGTTTTTTATCAGTATGCATATATAGATGCATTCATTGTTGATACCTTTAATATGCCTCTGTGTTTATTCAAATATAATAATAGGGGATCATATAAAATAATAAAGTATAATGCTAATATAATCTCCATTTACATTTTGAGGATCCTTACATATGTTAATATCTTCATTTTGGTTTGATTACTAGTAAAAACCTATATAGATCAGTAAAGCTAATATATTATGAAATGTACAATTAAAGTAAACTGTAGACATTTTCAAACTTCTTATAGTGTATAATACATAATTATAATTTATTCAACTTGCTGAGAAGGCATAACACTGAATTCCCCATTAGGGCATTTGCTTGCATATGCAGCCGCGATGCCGTGTCACCTTCATGCCCTTTATTTTCCTGACTTAGGGTGATCTTAGGTCAGGGCACTTACTGTTACAGTTCTGCCTGTGCCTGAATTCATGAATCAGACATTCGTATCAGTAATTTTAGTTGAATGTTTTTATATTTGTGGCTGAAGCAACTTAAAGGAGTTGTACTCATTCCCTTTAAAATACTGAAAATTGTTAGAATATCGGGGCTTCTTTGTTTTGTCTTTTGGATGTTTCTTGTTAACCTGTTTAATCATAGGATAGCATAAAACACTGTCCAATGGGTAGGTGCTTGAGGAAAAATATTCTTAAAATCCAGATACAGTTTTTCTAGGTATTTTTTCTTGTTTCTAAGAAAAAAATTAGATATTGCTACTTCTGCATTTTACCCATGTAAACAATTAAAGCATTTATTATGTAGTTTAAGGTGACTGATATAAAAATTGGTCAATGAGAATTGGGGGATCTTCCCCACACCTACGTTCTGCCTTATCCATTACCAGTAGATGAGAAAACTCCTGAAAGTCAAGGTATTGGTGATTCACCAACACAGAATTTGAGTTTTGCTTTCTAATCAGGGCAGGGGATCATAGGATTGCAAACAAATTCATTGTGTGTTACTCTGTTTTGTTTTAGTCTGTTGGATGAGCTCCCCGAGTCAGTGCTTCAATGGGCTCCTTCTGGAAGCAGCTGCTGTAAGTCTGATGATAACTCCCACCTTCTCCGATACGCTTCACAGGCCACCACATCGGTCACTCCTGTGTGGCAGCTTTTGTTGAGTCCACCCACCCCCGTTCCATAGGGATGGGAGGGACCTCTTCAGGGTTACACATAGGTTGCTGGAACAGAGACTGGTTAGATCCTTTTTGACATTAGAACACAAGAATGCCGCACAAAAACATTTAGACAGCTTTCCGGGCTCTGCGGACTGGGTTTTTTTAAAGATGTGTTTTATGGGAATCATGCCCAGGTTTAATAGTCACCTTTATCTGATATTTCTAGAGTTGACTTTGTATCTTTGTTCCTCCATATCCTGTTGAAAGAAGATAAAGTTGACCTAAGGAAAGACTACTTTCAATCAGTAATTTAAAAAGAAACACAACAAAACCAGTCCTTACACACTTGAATGCCTTTGAGACCCTGGGGTACAGCACCAAAGTTTCGGATTGGCAAGGGGCCCACACAGGCCTGTGACTTGGGGACTGGGAGGTATGTTGCATTAAATAGTTTTCCCTTTCAAGTTAGTATAGACCATTTTTGGAATTCTTTAATTGACAGTATTATGAGTAAAAATAATAAGTCAATTCAGAATTACCTAAGTGCCTGTCATTTTCAATGCATGCTGGGCACAGTGAGCACCAGTTTAACTGGGTCACGTGGTCTCACAGAAAAGCGCCCTCTTTGGCTGTCACGCTTGCTTTTTCTCAGGCACATAAGCAGAGTGAATCTTGTTCTCTCTTTATATTGGCCAATCTCAAAGGTAGCTTTTAGTTGCCTTAGAAAAGTGACTGACCCTCTAGCTAAAGTCAAATAGTGTCAGTTTCCATCTGAGAGTTTAAAAGAGGTAAATCATCTTAAACTTATGTTTGTAGCCCTTCTTTGACAAGAAAGCAAACTTTTCATTTTCATAGGAAACAAGAGGAACAAACCAGATCTGCTTCCCCCCTCTATTTCCCAGGACCCCTAAGTCTGCCTCCCCATGTCCCGGGTCCCTTTTCTTCTGATGGAGTGGGGTGAACAGTCGAATATTCTCATTGGGGGGGATGGGTTGAAAGATGGTAGCGTTTCATTTTTGTAACTGCACTGAGTAACTTGGTCCAAAGGCCAACGTTCCTTTTTGACTAATACTCTTATTGGCATTTTTACCAAGTCATACAGTTTGTGTTTTATCTGACAAGACAGCAAAAAAGAGAGCTGGGAAGGTGTTAGAATTTTTTTAATTGCATATCTCCTTTACCTTTCCTGTTCCTCCTGCACAAAAGGTAACTGTTCAGCTTCAGGTTAGCAAAGAATGCCCAGGTGCGCTGGGTTATACACGATAAACGCCTGCGGGCCAGCGCGTATCCTGTGCCACTCCTCTTGCTAGAGCTAGGTGACACGAAGAGGTGAGTGAGGCAGGAATGCCAGGTTCCTCTTTCTCTGTACAAACCATTTGAGTGTATAGTATTATTTTATAAAATGCAGACTTCTATTTCTAAAGCACAAAACATTAAACCTTTAATAGTAACTGAAGGTCTCTTAAGTTCGTTATGCTTAGAAGAATGGGTATTGTAAGCAGGAAAATTAAACTGATTTACAAATGGTTTATTACTAAGACATTTCATAAAACAGCCAAGAAGTTGGCAGCGTGCATGCCCAACTCACTGCAGCAATAGTAGTTTCAAACGTTTCTATCTCTTGAAATGATACTTAATATTTCACCAACTTAAGAAACAGACAGTTCAAGAATATCATAATTGCATAGTACTCAAAGTATTTTGTTTTATAGCTCTAGCAATGTGCTAGCAAATTAAAAAATGTATTTAATATAATAAGTCCAGATCTTGAAAGGCTAACATTTAGACTGGCATTACATCACAACAGTCTCAGCATCATGTTTATAATAATCAATTTGTAACAGAGGTGGCTCTTTTCTTTTCCTCCCTGTCCTTCCTCACCAGGTCCTTGTTTTTCTCAAACCCCAGCCCCGTGAAGGCTTTGCAGAGTAGCTGCTGTCAGCTGGTGGAATGCCAGGAGCCTTCCATTGTCTTCTAACAGTGATTTGTGAAAAGTGTTCCCAACATACTCAGCTCTGTTCTCCATTTGGGGTATTTTGGTTAATTGAATTGCAATATATATACCAAACTTGGCTTACCGATCTTGGCCCAAAGAACAACAGAATATTTATATTAAAATAGCAGTGACTGTAATTTAATTTTTCCTCCTCGATCATCCCTTCAGGAATTAGATGCCCGCAAAGGGCTCCTGAAAACATGAGTAATAAATAAAACCTCAGCACTTGATAGTTAATAGAAATCTGGTTAAGCGAATGCTAGGTAACAGATTTTATGTATCTTATACATGAGAGAGGAAAAAAGTAGGTTGTATAACTGCCACAGTATCTCACACACACACACACACACACACACACGCTCTCTCTCTCCCTCTCTCTCTCTCTCTCACACACACACACACACACACACACACACGAGCCAAGAGTTCTCATTTTAGTCACATTAGCCTTATGTTCCTAGAAAAATAGCTGTGCACAATGTGGTATATAGTGGTCACTCTCTCGCTTTCCTAGAGGGAACACAGATGATGACTAGTCCTTATGGAATTTTTCCCGGTGGGCAGTGAAACCCGGTTTCTCTGCATTTCCCCGTTTGAATGGCGGTAGGCCTGGAGGGGAAGGGAAGGCTTAGGAAGTCACTCCTGCCAACCCACCAGGCTTCCCACAGGAAGATTCTCTTCCCACAGGATAAAGTAGGAAGTACTTGTGTCTGGTTCAGTAATAAGTTTTTGAAGGAAAGAGGCTTGTAAAGACTAGTTTACCATGAAGAATTGTCACCGTAAAGAAATGAAAACATGCCCGTTTTTTAAACAGTGCACGGTAGTATCACTGTTGTCTAAGTTCTAGATTGAACCTTCATGAAACAAAAATGCAAGAACTACATTTGTTTTAAGGCTGCTATGTTTGTAACCTTTGGGTACTAATTCTAATTGTATTTAAAAGTGTATAGTTCATACATTTTTTGGGGGGAGGGAGACCTACTTTTATAGTCCTAGGCAGGAGATTCCAGTAGAGAAAAAAATAAAAGGTGCAACTTCTCGTCCTTCTGCAGTGAGTCGGGGAGACTGTGCCCTGGATGCATTGGGTTGGCTGGGTGTGGAGGTCGTGAGGGAGACTTGGCGAGGTCTACAGTCAGTCATGGCTGAACACATGCAATTCAAGGCCATTTCTAAATGAACTGTTATAATCTCGGAATCAAAGCCTTAATTAAAATTTGGAATGATTTTTTCCTTTAAAGTAAGGTTATGTATAATAAATAACAGTTGTTTTTAACTGAATTTTTAAAACTGCAACATAAAAAAAAATGTTTGATCTATTGTATTACTCAGGTAGTTATTAGTAGTTGCACCCCATAAATCAAAATCTCTAACTATAATTTAAAAAATTTGCTTCCTTCAATAAGATTAGTGAATTATAAATGTCAACAAAGATGTGTAAAATAATTACCAGTTTCTCTGATCTTTTCAAATCGGTAGGCCACTCTATATTTCAGTCATTTTTGGATATCATTTAAAAAGTGCTTTTCACTGAATTGTTTATTCTTAGTTTCTTCAGAATGTGTGTGTGTATGCGTAAGAGAGAAATAGATTTTGGGGATCCTGGGGCCTTGACATCTCTTGCCAATTATGAACGTAATGTAAAAAATTTAATACTTCACAGGTGAAATAGCCCAGTATTTGGTATGTGCTCATAATTTAGCCTATGATGAAAAGCCAAACTATCAAATGCTCAAGAAAATTCTGAACCCAGGTGGAATACCTTTAGGACCGTTGGAATTTTCCACTAAAGGAGAGAATGTGAATGTGCGTACTCCAAACGATCACAAAGTAAGTAACGTAGGTCCTGGGATCTTATGCTTGCCTTCTGTGAAGCGTTCTTCCAAATGAGGCTGTTTTAGGTTTCAAATGAGTTTGACAACCTGGTTTCTTGCGTATTATATTTAATTCCTTTTCCTCTAACTCAGCTCTAAGAAATTTTGTTGAAAGTTCTTTTGATTTTGACATATTGTTTCTTACAGAAAAATAGTAGGTTCTGTGTTCTGTTGTATACTGTTAAAGAAACGAAGTCATTGCTGACCTCAGAGAGGTGACTAGGTTAGGGCTAATCTGACTTTTCATGAAAACCTTTATTTACTGCTTTTCTTTAAATTTTGTTTTCCTCTTTTTTCATACAAATTTGGCCATAATTTGGCGGTAACAATAATACTCTTAGATTTAAGCAGATTATTTGTATGTGCTGATATTTCAATATATAAACAATTCCTTAAAAAAGGAGTTATTTTTAAAAAGTCGCATCTCCTCCTTTACTCTGCTGTCTTCCAACTGACACCCTTACATCAACTTAAAAAAAAACAAAAAAGAGTTAGAACTTGAAAAAAGAATTAAACGTGAAATGATACCAAAGAATTAGGACAAAACATTTTTTAAGAGTGTGAGGGAAACCTGAGACTGCTGTCAGAAGCATTACTGGACAGGCGACTAAATGTCCATTTCTTCCTTGACACTGTCCACATGCAAAAAAAAAATAAAAAAATGGGACGACTTTTTCCCCTCACGCGTGTATAATAAGGTAGGATCAGGATGCCATTCATTTTTAATATTTCTTGTGAACTTTGGATCATCACAAGTGTTCGTGAGCCAAGAATGCAGGATGCAAACTAATGTGACTGATTGGCTGCTAGATGAATGGTGAGTCAAGTATCAGTGCACAGATGGTTCTGATTTGCTGAATTTTGTAGCTGCTGCAACTGAAGACATAAAATATCCTTCTAGTCATAAATTAGCTCTTTGGAAGCAAAACCTTGACACCAGAGCTTTACAACCTTCAATTAGTAGGGAAAGAAGTATTTGAATGACTGTGGTATTGACATCTGTAGGCCTGCATAGTAATCATTCCTAATAGAAGAGAATATCTGTTTGAGGAGGTTTTGCATGGCTAATTAACTACCAGTGAGAATATGTAATTTTTTCATGATCTCCTGATTGTCACCTTTCTCTCATGATACAATTACATTTTATTGTAGCGAGTGCCTCACAAACCGATTGTCAGCACTATTTACTATTGCAGCAGGCAGAACAAAAGTTCATGTTTAATAAAAAGCCACTGGATTTTGATCTTGGTAATTACCGAGACTTATTTTAACAGTTTTATTGACTTTTGTGTTTTTATCACTTTCGCAACAAAACAAAGAACCATTTCCTTGACATAGTATTTCCCTTGCAATAATGGTCACCATTTAATCTACTCTAATTTAGGTAGGTTTTTTTCCTTTTTTGTAGTTTTTCAGTTTCATAAACTTAATTGAAATATAAAAGAAGCCATTTTAAAAACCAATAGCTGTATCCTCTGATGTAAAATTGTAATTATTCATCAGAATTTTCAGTTTCATCAAATTCAAAGGATGTTATGAAACCATTATATGTGCAGAGAATAGAACATAAAACATTTTTTGCAGTGAGCCTCAATCAAAAATATTTCATTCTTTTCTTTTGATTAGAGCATTTCAATTATGAGTAAAAAGGAAACACTAAGAGTGATATACATTCTTAAGACTTTAGTTAATTTCTGTTAACAATATGACCAGTCTTAGTATATGGAAATTATGATGACTTGGAGATAGATTTCACAGCATATCAATATTATTGGGTAATAACTTTGTTTCTCTAATATTTTAAGTACACAAATACGTTTAATAGTACTATAAAATATAGGTTCTCTGTATGTGGCTAAACCTTAGTATCTTAATTTTTATTTTTAAAGTTTACAGATTTTGTGATGTTGAAAAAACCAAACTTGAAAATGTTCAAAAGCTATGTATAACCATAGAAACTGTCCTATACTCCGCCCCTTTGCATGATACAGTATAGGATAGTTTCTGCAATTGATCTTTTCCATAACAAATACAATTTTAAGTCCAAAATGAATATTAATCACATGGCCCCAAATTCCTTTTTAGTCACAGAATCCCCTTAAAAACATTTCTTATTACTCTGTACATGGATCATTCTAGTTTAATGAATGAACTTTGGACTTGTACTTTTTAGACAAAGATTTTTAAAAAGCCAGTGGACTAGAAAATGTATACAGTTAGGTAAATAAAATGTTTCTGTCGTTCAGGTGTTCAAAGGAAAGTTATGAATGTTTAATTTTTTAAAATGTTATCTCACTCAATATAAGTGACTGTACATTTTAAATTTAGAATTCTTAAAAATATGTTTTGGTTAGGTATGAGAAAATACCATATCACCACAAGAATCTCAGCAAACTTATATCATCTTTTTGCAAAAGAAAAATGAGGTACTTTTTCAATACTCGGTTTTACTACGTATCACACACTGTTCCCTGTAAACTGGGCCTTCTTCCTAAAGTCCCCGAATACTGTTACTGGAGTTACATTGGGAATGAATTTTTGTCAGGATAGCAGAGACGTTGATACTTTTTCCCTGAAAAGCAAATCTTTGGGGGTATTTTCCTCAATCAAAATGACAATATGTATAGCTGAAATCACTCTCTAGTAGTTCTGACGGCTCCTGAGGTAGCACTGACAAATTAGGAGAATCTATCATCAGGGCTACTACCACAGTCTATTTATGCTATCCACTGGGATTTAATGTCCAAAATTCACTGAAGGAAACCATATTTCAGTACAAGTGCTTACTGAGGTGAGCTAAAGCTCTAGAATTCCCAGATGAGAATGCTAAAGACGAACTGAAAAACCAGCATTATTGAAGTCCCAGTTCAACCCTGGAATAAGCTGTTTCTTCAAGAGCCAGTAGTGGATCCTTTTATCAGTTTATCAGTATCTCCTTCCTTAAGGTGATACCGAAATCCATATTTTAATAGTGTAGATACCTGGGCACAATGAGGCACTGTCTTTCCTAAATGCTTTACCTAGGAAGAGGAGTTGGTCAGAGTTAACATGTTCAAGTAAACCCACATTTCAGACAGTAAAAGTGTGTTCCTGCATTCACCCTAAATTGGAGGTTCCTGCAGCAAATATGGGGGCAAATATATTATTATTGGTAGTAGTAATCTTTGTACTGAACTTAAAAGTTTACTAAAATCTCTTGAGCTTTAATGCTCAAAGTAAACTTGTCTTCGTGTTTATTTTATGTATGTGAGAAAAGTAGAATATAAACTCTCCATAAGCACATTTTTGGCACATTAAATTTGAAGGGCACAAAAGCATTCCTGATTTTGTAGAACGGTGTGAAGTACTAGTAGAAATTTAAATAAAAAGTACCTTGTTTGAATAGCCACTTTTTCAAAATGACACACAGTTGGATAGTACCCTCTTATTTGATCATGTGGGATGCCACGTGTTTTCTGTATTTTGTGTAACTTTGAGAAAAATGTTTACTGTGTTCACAGTTACGGGTTAAACTTAATCATGCCACTTCATTCTTACCATTCGATAACTTTCCCTAGAAAGAGACAGTTTATGCTTTGGCATAAACTGGATGTCACTTTGTTTAGTAGGTAGAAGTGCCCGTGGCAGCACAGCCTGCCCGCCACCGCCTGACGGCAGGCGCACCTCACGCAGCCCTGAACCTGTTAGACCACATCTCTGTACAGCAGGGGCTCCCAGGGCAGAGCATCTTAGACCTAACGTGCCTGGCACAGAGGCAGCACCAAAAAACGCAGTATCTCCACTAATCCTTTCTACCGCAGGACACATTTTCACGGTGATTGGCAAGCCAGTGTTTTATTAGGATAAAGCTGTGTACAGCAGCCTTAGGAAACTGTTTCACACCAGTGGTGTGATGAGCATTTATTGCCAAGACGGAAGAGTGGCTCAGGAGGTGGTTACACATGAATTTTCCCAGTCATTTGGGGGGATTGAGTGGTGGAAACAAAGAACCCCTAAGTGATTAGGAAACAATTTCAATTTTCAGGTTACCGAAAGGCAGTGGCTTTGCCGTCCTTTGAGAAGCCAGGATCTGGGAGGAGGGATGAATAAAGACTGATGTTGTGACAGCTCAGACCTAGCCACAAAACAACAGCCTATTTTAAAGGGAAGGGGTGAACACACTTGGCAATAGAAGCTAAAAATTGAGAGACTACAAATTAGGGCTCTGCCTGCCCAGCCAATGTAATTCATTCTCTGTGTTGGCACTGGCTACTCCATTATTTCCCCTTGTACCATTCCTGTCTCCTGCCCCCTATTTAACCCATGAAAAAAGGTGATGGCACTTGCAGCTGCTGTAAACATGAAGCTGCTGAACAAGTACTTCACATAAGGAGCTTCAGTGGCTTTCCGTCTTCCAACTGTATTGAGAGATCTGCCCTTCTATTTCCCTGTCTACTTCAAGGTTATTAAGAGTCAGTCATCCCCCAGATAGCACCACGGTGTGAAAAAGAAACCTCAGAAGCAAGCTTGTTGTAGAACTTAACCTCTGATACTGGTACACGGTGTTAGATGACATGAACTGTTATTCATCGGCCTAAAGGTTAAATTACCTGTATATAAAAAAAAGTAAGCAACATTATAAGCTCCTTTTACACATTCACATTAATTAGGCTCACTTCAGTGATAAAAAACTAAGATTCTAATTATTAAGAATTTACACTAAAAAGATATACGAGATCCACTCCCAGCAAAGGTTAATAATAAATTCATGTGCAGTTTTAAAATGTGACAGTTTTCTGTAAAAATGCTGTTTTCAATAAGCAAATTATCTGTAGAGATAATTTCTAAAGAGTGCACAACAGAAACACTAATTTTAATTGGTCTTGTCCTACTGATGAGAAAGGGTCACAGGATTTTGCCAACTGCTGTATTTTTTCCTCTAATGCCCATTTGTGGGTTTGCTCTATATTCTTTTTTTCAAAGCTTGGCAAGTTTAGAATTTTCAAGAATCTGGACATGAATGCATTTTTTTACACGTCAAAAGTTTTCCTTATATATTACTCCTTATTCTATATCAACAGGTCGATTTGCGAAGGGTGGCAACAAAGCAAGTCAATCAGATGCAAAATAGGTTTGTAGAAAAAAATGTCCCCGGTGCGAGAAGTGCTGCTTCGTACCCAGCGCGGAGAAAAGTGCAGAAAGAGGAGAAGCCGCCAGCTGAATTGCTTAACAATGGAACAGCTCAGGTGAGAGGTTTTTTGTTTTTGTTTTCTTTTCCTTAATGTTACAATAGCATATGCCCTTTGGGAATAAAGACATTTCATTTTCTCCTGAGGACCAAGGCTGTATAGTTTTGTTAAATGAGAAGGGGCAGAAAATGTCCTATGCAGCAGATAAAAACAAAGCAGCCAACTCCAGTACTCGTGGAAACTGAACGACAGTGAGCACATTTGCATACAGATCTGATTTCTTCCTTAGCCTAAGAATGTAATGAAGTGCACTTAAATTTTTATGCCATCTATGATCCATTAGGGACTTAACATATTCCATACTTTTACATTGGTTCCTCCAGTCTAACCCTTATAATCAAATATGTAAGTGAAGTGTTTCTCTGTCAATACGGTTGTAATTTTTACATCATTTGATCATTTGTGGGACAGTGACTCGCCTTTAGTAGATGACTCACTCAGCCAACAGCAAGTCTTTCCTATTCTAACTTGTTTGATAAGAAGAAGAGTAGTTATATGTGTTTAAGTATTTATACTGCTCTGAAAAAAAATTATTTTTTCAGTAAGTCCAGTATTTTATATGATTTATACACTGTCGTTTTCCCAAAGTGATTTGAGGTAGTTTACAGTGTACAGTAGAATAATTTAATGCCCTTACCTTCTACCTCCCATCCCCACCCCCAAATTGGTTTATCAGGCAGCTGGGATGTTAATCACTAAACTGAGTACTGGAATTTGGCTCTGAACTTCTTGGCAGCCAAGGCAAAAATTAGAAGCGTACTAGGTAGGCATATCTTGTCCAACCAGTAAGCATACAAGTTTATCCAGAGAGAGAGAGAGATGCTATTTTAGTACTAATAGGAATCTTTTGCACTTGTTCTGTTACAGTAACAATAGCATCAATTTTTAAATTGTAAAGGAATCTACTTCAAATGGTTGTATCTTACAGTTCCCATTTGAAAAATTAAAAGACAAATATTGCTTGGTGACAAAATAGAGATTCTTGAGTGCTCTTTTTCATCCCTTGCTGTACACTAGATTACCTCTATGGGAGTGGGAGGGACTATGAAAATACTGATGCCCAGGTTCCAAGCGAAGAAACTGATACATTTTAAATTAGGATGACAATATACATGTAGATTTATTAAATATATATTTTATTGATTATGATATTACAGTTGTCCCATTGTTTTTCTTCCCTTTATTCCCCTCCACCCTGCATCCCCCATCCCAATAGCATTCCCCACCACCTTAGTTCACGCCCATGGGTTGTGCATATAAGTTCTTTGGCTTCTCCATTGTTGGGAACCATCCTGCCTGGTTTCAGGGACTGTAGCCTCGCTGACAGGCGAGAGGGCCCCAAGGCTGGAGCTGAGCAAGGAGGCCTTGGGGAAATAGGCCACTGAGGAGACAAAATCTGTCCTGCCTGGCAGGGAGTGCAGCCCCTGCCTCTCTTACATCTCCCTGCCTGGCCCCGGAGGATGGCTGGTTAGTCACTGATGGGTAAGACCCCCTCGATGGAGGGGAAACAGGAGGTGCCTGTCTGCTGGCAGGGGTGCAGCCCCTGCCTCTTACTCTCCCTGCCTGGCCCCGGAGGTGGGTTAGTATGTGGGTAAGACCCCTTGGGGGGCAACCTAAGACAGGCACAGTCACATGGGAGCCATCAGAGAAGGACTTGGGGGACACGAAGAAGAGGCAAAAGACCCTCACCCCTCGGCTCTCTCTTGGCCGGAGCCCTCATTCTATCTGAAAGAAGTCTCCCTATCTCTTGGCTGCTCTGCTCCACCTGCCTGACCTGACTGGGTCAGTGAAACAATACTAAAGGCAGATACAGCCCTAAAGTGAGTCAGGAGGTTCCCGGGGACAATTAGGCTTGGAAAAGGCATGCGTTAAATCCTATGAAACTTACTTTGCTAAGAATGCCCTTGAATTAATGAGTTCTGATGTTTGGGGTCGGAGCATAGGATGATGAGATTGGTTTCCCACGTTTCCTGTTTCAGGGCCAAAAGGGAGCCACTCTGTCAACCAGACCCTGACCTGAGGCAAATCTCTGTGTTCCTTCAACTGTTATCTATGATCTCAATCTGTTTTCTGTAAACATAGTCTTTAGGCATTGATTGATAAGCTTTGTATCCATGCTGTATACCCTGCACATAAAAGTCACTTCAGGAGAAGAGCTCTGGGCATTATCCAGTAGAGAGAACTGCCACTCTCTTTTCCTGGCAGACCAAGAGTGTCTGGAATGACTTATTTCCTCATCTGCAGTGGCTGGGGGGGACTTTGTGGGATGGGGTACCCCCCCTTACTGCATTTCCTATACTATCCTTAATTTCCCCTTTTCTATTTTGCATCTAATCTTCATGCTTCTTATTCCCTGTACCTTTTCCTCCATTCTTCCCCTTGCCCCTCCACTCTGAAATTTTTTTTCCAAAAGGCCAGTATTTTATATTATTTATACACCGTCATTTTCCCAAAGTGATTTGAGGTAGTTTATAGTGTCCAGTAGAATAATGCCTGCATCTTCTACCTCCCATTCCCAACCCCAAATTGGTTTATCAGGCAGCTGTGATTGTGGTTTATCATTTCTGTGATTCTGTTCCTATTCTAGTTGTTTGCTTAATTTATGTTTTTGGTTTTTTTAGGTTCAGTTATTGATAGTTGTGAGTTTGTCATTTTACTGTTCATAGTTTTTGATGTTCTTTTTCTTAAATAAGTCCCTTTAACATTTCATATAATAAGGGCTAGGTGATGATGAACACCTTTAACTTGACCTTATCTGGGACGGACTTTATTTGCCTTTCCATTCTAAATGATAGCTTCACTGTATGGAGTAATTTTGGATGTAGGTACTTGCCTTCCATGACTTTGAATACTTCTTTCCAGCCCCTTCTTGCCTGTAAGGTTTCTTTTGAGAAATCAGCTCATAGTCTTATGGGACCTCCTTTGTAGGTAACTGTGTCCTTTTCTCTTGCTGCTTTTAAGATTCTCTCCTTATCTTTAATTCTGAGTAATGTTACTATGATGTGTCTTGGTGTGTGTTTCCTTGGGTCCAACTTCTTTGGGACTCTCTGAGCTTCCTGGATTTACTGGAGGTCTCTTTCCTTAGTCAGGTTGGGGAAGTTCTCCTTCATTATTTTTTCAAATAAGTTTTTAATTTCTTGCTCTTCCTCTTCTTCTGGCACCCCTGTGATTCAGATGTTGGGACATTTAAAGTTGTCCCAGAGGTCCCTAAGTTTCTCCTCACTTTTTTGAATTCTTGTTTCTTCATTCTGTTCTAATTGAATGTTTATGTCTTCCTTCTGCTCCAAATTGTTGATTTTGAGTCCCGGTTTCCTTCCCTTGACTGTTGGTTCCCTGCATATTTTTCTTTATTTCACTATGCATAGCCTTTACTTTTTTCTCCATTTTGCAACTATACTCAACCACTTCTGTGAGCATCCTATTTGGGCCATATTTCTTTGTCTTAGCACTCCTGTTACATTGAAAAGGGCAGAGCCTTAGGTATTCACCAGGGAGGGGCAACCCAGATTGCTGCATTATGACGTTCTATGGGGGAGGGGCCTAGAGGGAACAATGCTGCTTGCTCAGCTCTCAGCCTGCTTTCAGTCACTTCCCTCACTATCCACAAGCAAAATTGGGCCCTTCTAGGGCTGATTCCCAGGAGGGTGGGTTTGTGTACATTCTAGGACCCTGTGGGTCTCTGCAATGGACTCTCCTGTGAGGCTGGGAGTTTCTCCTGCCGCCGCAACCCCCATAGGTTTTTACAGCGAGAGGTTTTTGAGGCTTTCTTTTCCCATACTGGAACCCTGGATTGCACGTTCTGTCTCGTTCCCCAGCTGTGCCTCCCAGTTTATCTGCATGCAAATGTGGGACCGCCCAGTCCGCCAACCACCACCTCACCTGCCTGGTCCTCCAGCTGCTGCCCTGCTGCACATCCTCTCTTCCTGGCTACCAGTCTCAGTCCCTCTTATAGGTATGAATGTTTTTATTTTAACTCCTTGGTTGTTGGACTTCCATACAGTTCAATTTCTTGGAATTTCTGGGTATTTTTTGCTTTTAAATTTGTTGTTGTCCTTCTTTTGGTTGTGCAAGTAGGCAATGCGTATCTAGCCTCCATTGTGGCCGGAAGTCCAATATGTGTGTAGATTTTATCACTCCGGAAAGTTGTTGGTTCCCATCCTCAGTCAGTCCCTTTCCCTCAGAGACAACCACTGTTTTGATATTCTGCTTCTCATCACTAGATTAGTTTTGTCTCTTCTAGAATGTCACATACATGTAGCCAATAGAGTATGCTCTCCTTTGTGTCTGGCTTGTTTCACTCAGCATGTTTTTTGAGATTTATCCATACATGTATTAGTGATTTGTTCTTTTTCTTGTAGAGTACTCCATTGTATAAGTGCATCACAGTTCACATACCCACTCTCTTATTAATGGACACCTGGGCTACCCCTTGCTCTAGCCAGCACAAAAAAATAGTTATAAACATTCTGACAGAAGTCCTGCTATGGACATGTTTTGTTTCTCCTGAGAGGTGGATTTGTTGGATTGTAGGGAAGATGCATATTCAACTTTATAAAAAGCTGGCAAATGGTTCCCCTTTTATACTTCTACCAGTAATGTACAGGAGTTTGAGCCATTCCATGTCCTTCCCAACATTTGGTGGGTTCGGTCTTTTTCATTTTAGTCATTCCAACATGTGTGTATTAGTATCTCATGGCAATTCTAATTATCATTTACTTAATGACTAATAATTTTCAGTACCTTTTCATGTGCTGCCATTCATGTATCTTCTTTTGTAAAGTGTCTTTTCAAGTGTTTTTGTCCATTTTCATTTAGTTGACTGCCTTTTTAGTATCGAATTGCAAGAATTCTTTATATATTTCACATACAAGCCTCCTGTCCAGTATCTGTATTATGGATATCTTCTTATTGTGCAGCCTGCCTATTAATTTACTTAATATTGTCTTTGATGAGCAGAAGCCATTTGTTATTTTGATATGAAGTTCAATTAATCACTTTTTTCTTTAAAATTTTGTTTTCTGTAAAGAAAACTAAGCAACCTTGGTCTACTTCAAGGTCACAGAGTAATATTGCTATTTATAGAAGGCTTATTGTTTCAGCTTTCATATTTGGGTCTGTGAATGACCTCAAATCAATGATTGTACATGATATGAGGGAGGGGTTGAGGTTCGTTCTTTTTCAGATAGAAAGCCAGTTGTCCCAGCACCACTTGTTAAAAAGATTTTCCTTTTCCTAATTAAATTTCTTGGAAGACTTTTTCAAAAGTCAGCTGACCATATTTATGAAGTTGATAATATTTCTAATATATTGAGAATTATCATAAGTGGGTGTTGAATTTTGTTAAATGCTCTGTGTCAGTTAATGTGATTTTTTTTCATCTTTATACAGTTAACATGGTGGGTGACATTGATTAGTATTTGAAAAATGAACTAATTTTACATTGCTCAAATCAGCCCCACTTGGTAATGGTGTAGTCTTCTTTTCATGTGTTGTTGGATGCAGTGTGCTAGTTTGTGTTTTGGTTTTGTTGTTTTTGGGGGGTTTTTTTTTGAAGACTTGTGTATCTGTTTATGAGGAGTATTGATTTGTAGTTTTTATTTTATTGTCTTTGTATAGTTTTGGTTATGAGGGTAATGCTGGCTTCATAAAATGAGTTGAGAAATTTTTCTTCTAATATCTAGAAGAAAATGAGTCAAATTGGTGGTGTTTCTTTTTAAAATGTGTTAGATAATTCTTAAGTCAGGGCATCTAGGCCTGGAGATATCTTTTCCATTTTAACTATGAATTAAGTTTCTTTACTAAGGCTATTCAGATGATCTATTTCAAGAGTTAGGAAATTTTTCTGTAAAGAGCCAGATAGAAAATAGGTTTTATAGGTCCTGTGGTCTTTGTCACAATTATTCAACTCTGCATTGTAGCACAAAAGCATTTCAACACAGTATGTAAACAAATGAGTATAGCTGATTCCAACAAAATTTTATTTATTGCACTGAAATTTGAATTCCATATCATTTTCAATTATCACAAACTTTTTTTCTTGCCTTTTATTTTTACCAAATATTTTCTCTTGCCATTTAAAAATGTAAAACCGATTCTTGATTGGTAGGTTCTACAAAAACAGAACATACACATATTCTATGTGTATTTTCACATAGAATAGAACAGGTATAGTCAATAGGGTTCTGTCCTGTAAACCTGCCATTTCTCCGGCCCCTTAGGATTTTTGGACCTTTTTTGGTCTGTGCATATTGTTTTCAGATTGCCGGCTGCTTTATGGTCCAGATGGATCAGAGAGGGACTCGGGTGAAGGACCCATGGCTGGGTCCTTCACATCCTGAGGTCTCTGTCCAGGAAGGCTTCTCTTCTATGAGTTGCTTTTTGTCCAGAGTCTTTAGTTAGGAGGAGGAATAGTTTTAGAATGCTCTTACTCTGTCTTGTCTATCAATCAGTGCCCCTCACCTTCATTTTGAAGGCTTCACTGGATATTGAATTTTTCATTTTGAATTTTAAAGATACTGTTTCTGTCTTCGTGTGTTTTCTTCTGATAAGAAGTTAGCAATTATTCCTATCATTGACCCTTTATGTAATGCATCTCTATTCTGGCTGCTTTTAAGATTTGCTTTTTTTTATCTTTGATCTTTTAGGGATGATGTCTTAGGTTTTTTCTGCTTTGGGTTCATTGAGCTTCTTTTATTAGTGGGTTGACATTTGTCATCAAATTGGAAAATGATTTGTTTCCTGCCTTAATCCCTCTTAACTTCACCTTCTGAGAGCCAAATATATGCAGATTAGAGTGCTTTACCTTTTCTAACAGATAACTAAAGCTCTGTTCATTTTTCAACATCAGTCTTTTATATTGCTGTACTTGAGTTTGGATATTTTTTGCCAGGCCTCTCACCGATTGTCGAATCAACTGTTAACCCTAGCCAGTGAATTTTTCATGTCATATTTTTCATTTTTAGAAGTGCATTATATTTTCCATGTCTCTGCTGAGTCCCTCATCTTTTCACTAATTATGTTTAACTTTTCCTTTAAGTCCTTGAACATTTATGTAGATGTTTCATTGTTGTTTGATAATAATTCTACCACCTGGGTCACATTTGAGTCTATTTCTATTTTTTTACTTGTACTCACGGGTCAGATTTTCTTGCTCGTGTGTAGTAAAGTTTTATTTTATGTTGAACATTCTGGATGTTAAGTTCTTGACATTCCAGATTTTATTAAAGAATATTGAATTTTGTCCTGGAAAGAAGTTGATTTATTGTTAGTTCAAGCACTTGAACATGTCCCCGCTTCTGTTTAAACTTATATGGGCTGATCTAAAGTAAATATCATTTTAAATTGTAGCCTTTCTAGGGTTTGGGTTGTTTCCTTTCCTCAACAATCTGTCTGTGCCTGATAAGTTGCTATATACATTTTGCTCAACTTTATTGTTGTATTTATTTGATGGGTTTTCACAGCAAGAGGGGAAGTCTGATACACATTACTCCTGGCCAGAACTAGAAGGGGTGCTCATTTTTTCATAGCTTCCTAATTGATTCTAATGAGCATTCAGGACTAATGACTGACCCTAATGCAGGGTTTCGTGATATCACTATTGGCATTTTGGGCTGGGTTATTTGTTGTAAGGGGGTTGTTCTGTACATTGTAGGCCACCATCCTTAGTCTCTATCCAGCAGGTGCCAACAGTACCTCTTCCCAGTTGTGACAACCCAAAAAGTCAAGAAATTGCTAAAAGTCCCTGTGGGCCAAAATTTTCCCAGATTGAGAACCACTGATGTAACAATAAATTATTGCATACCTTAATTAGCCCATGCCCCTCAAAGCATGTTATGCCAAGTAGCTGCACTGGCATTACCTGGAGCTTCTTAGGAGCACAGAAGCTAAGGTCTCGTCTCAGACCTTTTGAATGAGATCTGCATCTTAACAAGTTATCAAATTGATGTGTAAGCTTTTTAATGTTTGAAAAAGAATGCCATAGACCAGGGGCCAGCAAACCTTTTCTTAAAGGGCCAGATAATGCATATTTTTGAGCTTAAGGTCACAACAATTCAGCTCTGCTGTTGTAGCGTAAAAGCATCCACAGACAATACAGAGAATTGGGTGTGGCTGTGTTACAATAAAACTCTCTGAGCCACACTTTTCTAACCTATGCCATAGACTAACTATCCCTATCAGATCTCTTAGTAAAGTGAAGACAGCTGGTGGCTAAATTCTTTCATGAGTACATGTCTATTTGATAACATTTGTTGTTGCTTAAAGAGGTGTATAGGTTACACACATTTGTCTTGATATTTTAGTAGCGTGACTTCTTATCTAGGTGGTGCTATCATCCATTTCCACATAAGTTATATATTGATGCTGCTTAAGGTAGCTTACCAGTCAGTGGCTCTCGGCCTTTAGAAATACTTGATTTTAGGGTCTATTTCTTTTTCTTTGTGGAAGAACTATATATTGATACTGCTGGCCCAGTGAAATAATTATTCACTTATTTTGCCTTTGTCAAATTAACCTGATAAAACTTTAGGAAAACTGCATTTGTGTGAATTTGTTAGTGTAGTTTAAAGTTAGTCATCCTGCTTGCCATACTGCATGTTCCAAGCCCCTACCAAAGTACAAGGGTACTTTGGCCGTACCTCTTGACATATTTTGTTATATGCTTCGAGGCATTCAGGTTTAACGCTGTGAAACTTCAGTTTGTATAGACTGTTTCCTTTTATGCTAAAAGAAAAGAGTGAGCATCTTTTCCTAGATCAACTTTCTATACAAATAAGGCTTTTAACCAGCTATCTTCTTGGCGTCTGTTGTCAGATGTCACCCCCGGCGCCCAGGCAGGAGGCTGCAGTGGGCTGGCTGCCAGCACAGACCACTCAGTGGGTGCACAGCCATGCTGCTCCCCAAGAATCACTATTAGTTATTAATGACCAAAAAGGTTTCTAATTATGACTGACACCCATAAAATTATTCACTGGCTTACTTAATGGTTTAAAAGAACCAATGATAACCAGATTTGACTGTTTGGTAATGGTAAGTACTTTACAAACTCCTAAAATCCAAGATCTAAAAATACCTTCTCAGGTAAAATAAACACACAAAAACTGATTTAGCATTCTTAAGTATACAAGATACATACTTGATAACTCAAATTTAACAAACTATATATACGTATTTTCCCTCAGGAAAGCACAAGGAGAAGACAAAAATATTGTGAGTTTCAAGGCTATTTGAATGAAGTAAAAAGTTCTCCACAGAAAGACAGCCATATGCGGTTCCCAAACTCATTTTATGAACCCCATCAAGATTCCACCAGTCCAGACATACTCAACAAGTCAAGATCAAGATGTCCGCCTTGGTACACACACACTCCTACAACTGGCACGGAAGTCACAGACTTAAGAAGTTCTACAGGATTCTCACTTCCAACTTCCCAGTTTACCCTCAGTGAAGAGACAAAGGCAGATGTATATTACTATGGTGTCACCATTCTTTTTCTTTTGATATTAGTATGTCTTGCTTTATATTTTCTCTGAAGATACCAAACAAAATCCTTTATATAATTTTTAAAGGTTCAGTTCTTCACAGAAATGTTACATTCTTATTCAGGGCTTCCTCCCAAACATTTTCAAGGTAATTGGCTTTAAAAAAAAGGAAAGAAAAAGAATACATTTTAACAAAGTAAGTTTGTAAACATTCTTTAAAAAACTGCTTTATATATCATGGTCTCATGATACAGTTTGGAAATACTTTTCTGAACTTTTAGATCACCCAGAAAATCTAAAACAAGAGTCATTCTAAAAAAGGGATTAACAATTTTTTATCAAAGGGGCAATCTGAAAATTAAAATGCTATTTATACAGACAACTTATTTTATAGAAACTTTTTTTTAATACATGTTATGTCTCCAAAAGTTTTAGATAGGCTGATATATAGGTACCTTCTAAAATAAGAGACTAAAAGCTAAGGACATTTTATGAAATGTGATTAACTGCTTACCTTAGTACAATATGGACATTCACCAAATAAGATGTTAAAACTCTGTCTACTAGTCTGTAATCCTCTCAGCCACTGAAGATTTTAAAAATAAAAGTGTCAGTATTAGCATGATTACAAATATACCAGAAATGTTTTCCTTTCTTTTTGAGTGCATTAAATTTTTTATCCCAGAATATTTATCTTAACTTTCTTATGCAAGAGTAAGGGGAACATCTGAGCAAATACCAGACTACTAATAAGCTAAATAACAAGGGGAAACCAGCATGGATTTCAAGGTGTATGCACACTGGTGTACAACCAAAATACCGGCCCCCTGTAAAACTTTGATGAAAATTACCTTTTCTACTCTTCACATGCAAGAAAGTAATGCATACAGGTCTATGGGGTTCACAGACCTACCTAAATCCATTTATCACAAATTACGAACTAATGCTGTAGAAGATAACATAGGCTCTGGAAACTTTAGGTCTTAATTCTGGTGTTAATCACCAATAGTGGGTTAATTCTCAACCATTAATTCCAAGCACGAGGCAGTTCAGTTTTAAAAGTTAAATATTATTATTTAAAAAAGCGCATGTTCCCTTAAGAGAATCTCTAGAATCAGAACTGATATTTTATGATTTTATATAAGGTGAACTGACATCTCTACCTCAGTTTTCCCTTGTTAAAATACAGATAACACCAACGACTGTCTCTAATCACAAAAATCAAGTAGTGATACTAGGGAAGGCTTTAGAAAATTGAAAGCACCTTATAACTGCAAGGTGTTTTATATATTGATGCACTTATAGTTTATCATATGTCAACTGTGCCCTAAGATGAATGCTATAGAGAGCAAATGACTAGAGACAGGAATGAAGGCAAACTTCACATATAGTAAATAAAATGTCACTGACTGAGAGTGCTGTGAGACACTCAAATCTAGCCTGAAAAGTAACAGATGCTTCACAGTGCTAGTTCCCTTTCACCTACTGGCTGCCATTACTCCCAAGTGAATGAGTCTGCAGTTTGCACGTGGTGACATGAGGTATTTACTGAAAGATTCCAATGTATCATCAGTTGAATTTATGTGTCAGTCGTAGTCCATGAATGCATTCTGGATATGTTTCCCCCTTCTTGGTTACTTTAGGACATTATTCATTCATGAGAAAGCATGATGAAGAAAGGAAGCACATGGACATCTGAAATGAACTAGTAGTACAGGAACTAATGAAAAAGAGATTATATTGAAATAGATTTTAAAGTCTATACGTTTCAAATATTCATTCTTCCTCTGTTAGCTGAAAAAGGTCTTGCTATGTTTTTACTTTACCTCATATAAGCATATTTGATGGAAAGGCTGTCCACACTGGGAATTATCACATACTTGGTCAGGAATGGCGCCATCAAGCTGATAGGCGTAACAAATTCCACAATCCATAGAAAAATCCTTCAAAAGAAAAATATAAGCGTATGTATTTAAAACATACAAAATGAGAAGAGAATGAGTAATGGTATAGACATTATAAAATTTTTATAATTATGGCTTTTATAAAGGTAGTTATATCACTATTATAAAAATATTAAGTCATATTACTATTTATCACTTACTTGTATGAGAATGCTCCCTTTTACATCCAGTAAATTATACACATAGAAATATAAAAAAAAATTCTGTTTTTGTGTCAAAAGATGTGAAGGGCTTAAGTTTCCCATATTATACATCAATATAATGCCACTGTAGTATGTAAAAATAGGAACTGATATTAGCTAGTGATTACTAACTTAAAAATTATGTAACTAAAGGAAAAAGACAAAAACATCTCCACCAATTTAGGAGTCTGCAGTTTAACAAGTTTGTCAAAAACTGTTTTATTTGCAATGTAGTGTGGTGCCAGGTGAATTTTGAAAAACTGTACTGCCATCCCTCACAAACACTGAAGTGAATTAGAGCTTCATTTCAGTCATCCAGAAGCAGATAGTATAGAAAATCCAAACATCACATTAGCTACTTAGGACCTTCCCCCGTTTTTAATAAAAAAGATGCCTGTCATTAATCAATTTACTGTTATGAAGACCATGAAAAAAAGTGCACTTATAACCACCAATCAAAGGTTAACAAGTTCTTTGATGCAGCTGTTGCTTGTAGTTCAGAAGTCTGTTACATAATAATATTCCAATTGCCTCCCTTTCAGCCTCATGTTTCTCTAGTGCCTAAAAGAACATTTAACTTTTATTATGCAATGCTGTTGGGAATATCAAAGCACTGAAAAAACTTACAGATTTTTCCAGGATAGCAGGAGATGGAAAATCAATTTCTAAAACATCTTTCAAATTTTGTAGCAGAGTATTTTCTGGATCCCTGAAAGCATGAAAAAATATTTATTAAATGTGTAAAGTCTCAGAAAGTAACAATTCTATTGTAAAGATACCTACCACAAATGTATGTTTCTGCTCAGCTTAATTCCCAGGGGTTTCACCACTTCAGGTATTTAAATAAAAAAAAAAAGTTCAATAATTTAGGGGTTGCTGTTCTCTTTTTGTAAAACCATATTCAGCACAGAATTTGTTTCTAATTTAAATTGACATATAACACTGTTAGTACAACATAATGATTTGGAACATGTATATATTGTAAAATGGGTACCGCAAGTTAAAATCCATCACCACACATATTTATTGATTTTTTTCTTGTAATGAAAACTTTTAAGATCTTGCAGTAACTTTCAAATATACAATCCAGTATTGTTAACTATAGAATTTAACTGCTTGATTATAAGATAATATATAAGAAACACCGAAGTACACAGTTCAAATGATGAAACATTTAAAACAACTACCATTAATATTTTAGAATAATATAATACTTTAACAAGGGTTTTGTGGTTCTGTTAAAACATTTAAATCTGAGATCTCACACCATGGTCAGCTCCAAGAAAGCAGCACTCAGGAAGCATAGTAGGATGCCTGGGGTCTACCTCTATATTTATTGAAGCATTATTCCCTAGAATAAAAGAATATTGAAGTTTTTAGAAGTAGAAGATTTCATCAAACAAAAAAAGGAGTATCTGGCTGGGTGCTTATTTCATTTTATACACAAGAAAAGAGTAACCAAATTGTTTTTAAAACTATGTTTACTGAGTTATATAGGGAGGGGAAGGGAGAGAGAGAAACATCAGTGAGTTACTTCCCCTTAAGGGCCCTGCCGACAGATCGAACTGCAACCTAGGTACATGCCCTGACCAGGAAAGGAACCCCCAACCTTTTGGTGTAGGGAAAGATGCTCTAACCCACCGAGCCACACTGGTGAGGGCCCAAATGTTTTATAAACTTTTTATAAAGGTAAATATATCACTATGTTATAATTTCATTAAAAAAAGGTACATTTTGAAATTATAAATGTGGCTAAAGTTTCAAAAAACAAAGTCAATCCATAAATTAGATTAGATTACAATCCTGGTCAGGATTCAAAATTCATTGGAGTGATAAAGATCTTCAATATAAAAAAAGCACAACTGGCCCTGGCCAGCATGGCTGCTTGTTGGGCGTCATCCCAAAAAGCGAAAGGTCGCCAGTTCGATGAGTCAGGGCACGTGCCTGGGTGAAGGGCCAGGTTCCCAGTTGAGACTAGTGAGAGGTAACTGATCGATGTTTGTCTCATCAATGTTTTTCTCCCTCTTTCTCCCTCTCTTCCCCTCTCTCTAAAAATAAATAAAAACTCTCAAAAAATAAAATAATAAAAATATTACAGCTCAAGTATTTAAGAAATATCTAAACTGCTTTTTCATGATGTTCTTGGAAAGTAAGAGACCTATGGCCAAATAATGTATAAAGGCTAGAAATACAATAAACAGTAAAAATAAACATGCTTGAGGTTTGAGTTTGATGAAATTTTATAAAAATACGTTCTGAATTCTGTTCCATGTGCAGTTTTCCCCTGTAAGTTAAAGGGTTCAATTCCTATTAAATTTGAACTGTTCATTTAGTAAAAACAACTAACCTTGCTTGCAGAGTCTATGAAAAAGCTGTATCTACTCATCACTAGATTCTTTTATAAATTTTAATTATGCTACAGTACTATGAAAATTTCAGAAATTTTACTGGTTTTTTGAGAATGCACAGTGCAATTGTTTAAGGTCAATTTAAATTTTACTTTTATGGTAAAAATGTCTTGATAAATTCTATCCACTATAGTGTATAAGCCTTTGACAAGATTGGCAACAATACAATAACTACAGATCTGGCAAAAAAAAAAAAAAAGTGGGGGGGAGGCACCAAGTGACAAAATAAATGACTATAAGTAAGTCAATGAAAAAAAATTACAAGAAGTTAATTTGTAATATCATTTGTTAATATTTCCTTTACCATGAACACAAATTCCATATTAGCCTTTAGCAAAGTCATCTAATGACTCCAGAAAGTATTTTGACTTAACAATGGCTATATTAACTAATCTTTTAATAAATTTGCTGAAACCTTGGTCTTAAAAAAGGCAATTCAGTGCGTGAAGGGTGGGGGGGAAAGAGCTATAAGGTAAACATAGACAAGAGTAAATGAGTAAAAACCAGAGTGTTTTTGCTGAACAGTGAGAAATAAGAAGTATATTTAATCATAACCTAATAAAAATTATTATTTTAATGGGGATGTGAAGGTAAGTTACTACTTTGAAGAAAATATTTTCATTCTTAATATCTACTGGTTCACAAATACACCAAAATTCGGTTAATTATTCCATATTAAACACTGTTAGACTTTAACTGGGCAACAGTAATATTTGTAGATCTGCTGTACAATTAATACTTTCCTCTTCTCCTAATAATATGTCACTTCTTTTGCCCCAGATAATCTACTGTGCTTAGGAAAAAACCATAAAAATGGCTTACTAATTGGGATATTATGTCAGAATTTCAAAATAGCCTTTGGAATATATGATTTGTAAAAACATTATCTATTTAGGCTAGAAAAACAAGGAGGAAAGATATAAATAGGTATCTTCTACCCATCCAGCTAACGGTAATTAGTGTGAAGTCTGAAACAGGGGTGTCCAACCTTTTGGTGCCTCTGGGCCATACTGGAAGAAGAAGAGTTGTCTTGGGCCACATATTAAACACATTGTGACATGTAGTCCCCCCCCAAAAAGTCTCATAGTTTTAAGTAAATTTACAATTTTGTGTTGGGCCACGTTCATAGCCATCCTGGGCCATACGCAGCCTACAGGCCCCGGGTTGGACACTCCTGGAAACAGCAAAATCTTGAGAGGCTAAATTCAGAAACTGTTTTGCTTGCTCATATGAAATAAAACAATCATTTTATATAGAGACAGTGTGGTGACATTTAAAGGATGATATTTATGGCTATATAATATTTCATATATTTATATTTATAAAATAGTTCAAAAAAAGTTCAAATATATTCAATTATTTTGTGCTTTTTGTGTACAAAAAGTAGATATGCACAGCCCATTTCAGATTCTTTTATCCTCTATATTTTTGTTAGAAAATATTCCCAGATTTGTTCACAGTAATCTCTAGTTTTATGGATGAAAACTTCATTATTTTTAACATAGTTTTTTTTCCTAAGTAAATTTTGAAAAACCTGTTCCCCTATTGCTTAGCTAACTAAAAGCTAATTAACACTATCTCTGAGTGCCACCTCCACTGAATCATCACTTTTTATTTATTTTTTTAGAGAGGGAGGGAGGGAGAAAGAAAGGGAGAGAAACATCAACATGAGAGACAAACACTGACCAGTTACCTCTCTCCTATGGTCCCCAGCTGGGGACAGACAGCATCCTAGGCATGTGCCCTGACCAGCAATCAAAACCAGCAACCTTTTTCTTCAGGGGATGACACCCAACCAAGCCACACCAGTCAGGGCATCATCAACTTGTATAACAAAACATTTCAGTACTTGCCCTTTACCCTTGAAATACGTGTATTTAAATATTTAGTAATAAAAACGTTCATCCCCAAAAGTTTTAATAGTTGACTTCATGCAGAAAGTTCTCACCCAAGAGTCCAATGACATCTTTAGATTAATTTTCCTAATACAAAATACAATCAAACACCTTAAAAAGAAAAAGCCTCATTAATCCTTTTTCCCCACCTACTACAATTCTGCGTGCTGTTGCACTCCGTGTAGGTTTTTCTGGCTCAAGTACCCAAGTCTTCTTATCAATTTCATCCATAGCATCCCAGAATGCCTTGAGTGATTCCAATGCTGCCAAAAACTGACTATAAATGTTTATTATGGAGCTCTATAAAAAGACAGATGAAAGCTGAATAAGTTATAAAGCACTATCAATAGCAGATAATCTTTCATTTAAAATACAACTCAGTTTAGAAATTTTAAGCTGTTTCATTTCAGCTAAAACTAGTCAAGTAAGAGTCAACTTTCCCTGCTTTACTGTTTCACCTGCATCAATATTAACAGGACTATGCAATCCTCAAGAATGTACGGCATTTTAAAAACTTTTCATTATGATGAATTTTGTACTACATATGGCATAGTAATTACTAACACAAGAAGATAAGTATGGACAACTTTATTAATGTATGTAACATTGGGCATAGTGTACGCAATTTTAGCATGAAAGCATTTTCATTTTTGCTGTATATATCAAGTTTGATGCTCTACTACTTGTGACTTGATTAAATTACTTTTAAGCATTATGAATAAATAACTTTTAAGATTTAATTAGGTGAAAAGTATGAAAGGTTTTTCACTTTTAAAAAATCAAACAAATTACCAGATTTCTTTTGATGTTAAACTTTTAGCCAATTTCTGAATTCAGTATTTCAAACACTAATTAGTTAAATACATTTTATGGAAGTTAAAATACATTTTCACTAAATGATAAGAACAAAGCCATTGCTGATTCTAAAAATTTATATTTCAAAGTCAAAAGTTTCTCAAAATAATGTGATATGTTTTAAAGATACTATTGTTTACTAAATTTCTTTATAAAAATCAATCAAAACTAAAATAATTTTTAAAAGGGTTGTATTTGTTTCAAAGAAGCAAAACATAAAAAATCAGTAAACTACCAACTTATACCATACACAACAATAAACTCAAAATGGGCAAAAAAGTTACATGTAAGTCACAAAACCATAAAAATCATAGAAGAAAACATAGGCAGTGAAATCTCAGATATCTTATGTAGCAATATTTTTGCCAATATATTTCGTTGGGCATTGGACACAAAGGAGAAAAATAAACAAATGGGACTACATCAAATCAAAAAGCTTCTGCACGGTTAAATAAGCCTTCTGGAAGATGAAAAGGAAACTCACTGTATGGGAGAACATTTTCACCAATGATACATCTGATAAGGGTTTAATCTTAAAAAAAAAACAAAAAAGAACTAATGCAACTCAACACCAAGAAGACATTTCAATTATGAAAGGAGCAAAGGACCTGAGTAGACACTTCCCCAAGAGGACATACAGATGGCCAATAGACATGTGAAAATGCTCAATGTCACTTAATCATCAGAGAAGTACAACTTAAAACCATAATGAGATGTCATCTCACACCTTTCGGAATGGCTATCATCAATAAATCAACAAACAAGTGTTGGTGAGGATGTGGAGAAAAGGAAACTCTTGTGCACTATTTGTGGGATTCCAAATAGGTGCAGCCACTGTGGAAAACAATATGGAGGTTCCTCAAAAAATTAAAAGTAGAACTAGCATATTATCCAGCAATTCCACATCTGGATATTTATCTAAAGAAATCCAAAAGCATTAATTCAAAAGGATAATACGTACTGCTATGTTCACTGCTGCATTATTTTCAATAGCCAAAATATGGAAGCAATCTATTCCTTGATAGATGAATGGGTAAAGAAGATGTGGTACATATATATAATATTACTGGGGTATAAAAAAGAACAAAATCTTGCCATTTGCAACAACATGGATGGACCCAGAGGCTATTTTGCTACGTGACATACGTCAAAGACAAATACCTTATGAAATCTAAAAAACAAAATAAATGAAAAACAGAAACAAACTCAAAGATACAGAGAACAAATTGATGGTTCTAGATGGGAGGAGGGTTGGGGAGCTGGGTGAAAAAATTGAAGGGATTAAGAAGTACAAGTTGGCCATTATAATAGAGTCATGGAACCGTAAAGTACAGCATTTGGAAGATAGTCAATAATACAACTAAATACAGTATCAGATGGGTACTGGACTAAGAGTTATCACTGTACATTACATAAATGTCTAATCACTATGTTGTACACCTAAACCTAATACAACATTGTGTGTAGACTTTAATTGAAAAAAACATTTTTAAAAGCTTTTTAATGACAATTTTTATATTCTTTGTACTTTTCCACATTCCCAACAATAATGTATTAATTTTAAAATCATAAAATATAAATGAGCTTATGTAAAAAGAGAAATGGTCTTATGGCCATTATTTCATTTCATTATATCCACAGTATAGGGAAAAATATACTGAATTCAATGAAACTAATATTTCAACCGTGTGTCAGGACTATGTGGAAGTCTGATACCAAGATAAAAGAATCCAGTTCATAAGGGGAACACAGCTCTAATCTTGATGGTAAAAAAGTATCTGATCTTAACCAAGACAAATTCAACCTCTGGAAGCCTTAACATTGCATCTATAAATGTGGGTGTGCACTAGATAGCTTCTAAGGTGACTTCAAGCTCTACAAGAATTCTAAATATAACTTTGAAAATCCATAAAGTAGGTCATTCTGTCCACTTAAAAGTATCTATATTTCCAGATCTCGACTACTGTAATATACTCCATTTCCAATTCTTGTTTGTAAACAGATTTTATAATTCAAATTATATAACTATATATGCATTAAATATAACATATAATGTACAGCAATCATTTCTTTCATAAAAAGAACTACATATCAAAATCAAAATATTTGGGTTACATTCTATATCTCCATGTATTTAAGTAAGAACTGAAAGATGCATTATACAACTACCATTATTTTCATGGAGTGACAATGGTTAACAAAATATTCCAGGTTTCAAGTGCACAATTGTACAAAGCTCATCTGTACGGTGCACTGAGTGTTCATCAGCGCAAGTTACGTCTCTGTCCATCACCATTTATCCCCCTTTTACCCTCTTCCACCTTCCCCAACATGCCTCCCCCAGCAGTCACCACACTGTTGTTCGTATTCATGAGTTTTTCTTCTTCTTTTTTTTTTTTTGCTCAATCCCTCTATCCCTCGTGCCCCTCACCCCGACAGTTGTCAGCCTGCTCTATCTTTGAGCCTGTCACTACTTTGCGTGTTAGTTCATTTTGTTCATTAGGTTCCATATACAAGTGAAATCATGTGGTACATATCTTTCTCTGACTGGCTTATTTACTTAGCATAATGCTATTATTTTCTAAAATGTAGGGAAATTTTTCAGTCTTCCAAAACTTTTGAATTTTTGGAATTGGTTTGAAACCTCAAATTCCTAGCAGGAATAACAAAGCAACTATATACCTTAAATATGGTAAAGATCCAAAAATAATGCCCAGAATATTGCAACTCATTAATTTACTAACCAAAGGAAAATGGCATCCTTCTTTGCACATACACATAGCACTATGATTAAAGGAAATGAAATAGAGGAACAAAGATTCAAGACTGAAACAAAAACGAGAAAAAAAGACAACAAAAATGAGTATTTTAAAAAGCTATAATGAAACACAAAAGGCTTTGCATCTCAAAAGCAATAAACTATCTTACAGAGAAGAAAAGTATCCCAGAAACAAAGACAATGATGTAGAAGCCTCTCACCTGAGCCTTGCTCTGGTGGGAGAGGGAAGAGGAGGAAAGGATGAAAAACAACCCAGCAACCTCTTATCCTTAAAATGTGGGTGGCGGCGGGGGCGGGGGGAAGGGAAGAAATCCTGAGACAGAAAATATAAAACAAGGTGAGAAGAGTACACTTTACATCCTACTCTACCTACTCCGAAGATTTGCAGCTAGGGCCCATGATGAAGGCATTCCAACCACAATAGGTTGTTTGATCTGTGTGTGCCTGTCTGTCTGTTGGTCCATATTTATGTGGAATAGGGCTATAACAAGAAAAAATGGCACAGCCTGAACACCAGAAGTTAGAAAATTATCTACAACATTACATGCACAGCAAGTAGAAGAGTTAAGTTTAACGGGAGCCATTCCCTGATATGGAGTCCAACTTCCTGTGTTAAAAGCAAAGGTCAGAAGAATACAAGAATGTATTAGTCTTGAAGAAAAAAATAGACATCTTCATGTGATTTGAAAATAGCAAGTATAAAAATATTGAACGATCAATCTAATATTAGGTTCACCTAAGAGACTTAATAAAATTCTCTGCATGAAGTCAGAATATCTGGACCATTCCGTATATGGGCTTCTCAGTGAAAAGATCTGTATATGGGATCCTTACATTGATTCACTGAAAACTTCTGAACGCAACCAGAAAGATTTCTGAACAGTTTGTTTAGTATGATACACTTGACATTTAAATCTTGAGATTATGAACCATTAGAAAGTCTGTTCAAAGGTCACCAAATCATGACCTTACAAAAAAACTAACAGATTTATTGTTTTTTCCAGACAAGTTTTATAATACTGAAGCACAGTCAGACTATTTTGGCAATGCTTTCCAATTTTTATGTTGGAAGACATGCATGAATCAAGTGCCCCAAAAGTGAAACAGGGAAAGGTCAGGTTGTTGGTTCTTATTCATAGTTAACAAGTAACATAAACCATCAGAAGATTAGGTTGTATCATTACTGAAAAACCTTCAAAGATGTCACCTTTTCTTATGAAGCTTAGCCAGTAAATAGGGGGTGCAGATGAAGTCCTCATTAGCTCCATGTCTAGAGACTCTGTCTTTAGTGAAAGAAATCAGTGGTCTGGTTTCCACACTGTCAATACCCACTGATGAATTTTTGTATGCTTAAGTCTCAATTCTTTTCAAAACATATTAGTACCAGTTAGTGAAATGATGAGAAACAATTTTTTTACATTCTACCAAGAAGGTAGATACAAAACAAAACAAACTTTGTTCTTTTTCAGGCTTTTTTAAAAATTATTTTAAGCCCTTTGTATTTAAATATAAATTTTTGAATCATTTTGTCAGTTTCTAAAAAGAATCTCTTGGGATTTTGACTGAGATTTCATTGAATCTATAGATCAATTTGGACAGAACTGACAACAATATAGAGTTTTTTAACCCATGAATATGGTACATATCTCATTTAGGTCTTTAGGCC